GGCCTCCCAAAGTGCTGGGATTACAGGCTTGAGCCACCGTGCCCGGCCTAATTTTTGTATTTTTAATAGAGATGGGGTTTCGTCATGTTGGCCAGACTGGTCTCGAACTCCTGACCTCAAGTGATCCGCCCGCCTCAGCCTCCCAAAGTGCTGGGATTACAGGCATGACCAATAACACCCAGCCTGTATTTTTAGTAGAGATGGGGTTTCACCATGTTGGCCAGGCTGGTCTCGAACTCCTGACCTCAGGTGATCCGCCCCTGCCCCCCCACCGGCCTCCCAAAATGCTGGGATTACAGACATGAGCCACCGCGCCTGGCCAAATTTTTCTTTATTATTCTTACTGAAAGATGGCACCAGGCCGGAAATCCAGGCCACCTGAGTCCAGAGCCAGCCTCTTTCCACCCCACCCTGTCCAGGGGCTCAGATCCTGGCTCCACCACTGCTCAGCCCCATGTGGTCACTTTCCTTCCCCAGACCTGAGTGTTCTCACCTGTGAAATGGACACAGAGCTCTGGGCGTGGGCAGGGGGTTCCCTGAGCAGGATGGAAACATGGGGGTAGGGGATTCCTCCCTTGGCCCGTGGTGGCCCCCGAGGCCGGGCAGGATTTGCCCCGGGGTGTGATCCCCATGCACTCAGTCCCACCACCCTGCCCCCACCAGGTGCTGGAGAACCGGACCAAGGACTCCAAGCTGGAGATGGAGGTGCTGGAGAACCTCCAGGAGCTGAAAGACCTGAACCAGCGGCAGGCACACGTGGACTTTGAGGCCATGCTGCGGCAGCACCGCCTGTCCGAGGAGGAGCGGCGGAGGCAGGAGCAGGAAGAGGACGAGCAGGAGACCGCGTGAGTCCGGGCCGGCCCAACCCATCCCCACCTCACAGCCTCTGCACTGGCAGGCGCTGCCTCTGCCCCAAACGCTTCCCCCGCTCTCTGCAGTGTCGCCTTTTCAGGGACCCCTTTCCCACCGCCAATCTCACTTTCTCCCTTGCGGCGTCTGTCTCGGGGGTCCCCAGCCCACTGCCAGGCATGGTGACTCAGCACGTGGTCACCCGCATGACTGCGGTGTTTCACAGTGAGAGGACACAGCAGATTCAGCAAAGGGAAAAGGCATTTGGGATGTGTCGGGGGCCAGGCCTTCCAGATCCTCTCCTGGTGCAGCTTCGCAGGACGCGCCTCATCCCCCAGCCCGAGCTGGGAGGACTCGAGAGAGGCGCCATCCCCAGGAAAGCTCCTAGAGACCCAGCGTGGGGTTCCTATGGGAGGTCCCACAGGCCCCGCTGCCTGGCCCATGCCGGGATTCCAGACTCGACAGGAAAACAGGGCTCGGGCATAAACCATAGTGTTTGCCGGAACAGCTGAGGCCCCAGAGCCCGTCCCATCCATGAGGGTGGGAGGTCCCCCGCACAGGCTCCCGGACATCCACCAAGGGCCACCCTCACCAGCCGCCTTCTGAGGACACAGCCTCAGGCCTCCCGGGTGAACACTTTTCTTTTCTTTGAGACAGGGTGTCGCCGTGTCACCCAGGCCGGAGTGCGGTACTGCAGCCATAGCTCATTGTAGCCTCCATCTCCCAGGCTCAGGCGTTCCTCCTGCCTCAGCCTCCTGGGTAGCTGGGACCACAGGGGCACATTACCATGCCCGGCTAACTGTTTTTATTTTTGTAGACAAGACCTCGCTATGTTGGCCAGGCTGGTCTTGAACTCCCGGCCTCAAGCGATCTTCCCGCCTCAGCCTCCCGAAGTGCTGGATGACAGGTGTGAGCCCCTGCGGCTGGCTGGTGAATGCCTTTGACGCCGACCACCTCTGAGCCTGCATGCTGATCCCCTCCTTTCCTGGTACCTTGTCTCCCCTCCGTCTGTTAGAATCTGAGCTATAAGGGCCGGGTGTGGTGGCTCAAGCCTGTAATCCCAGCACTTTGGGAGGCCGAGACGGGTGGATCACGAGGTTAGGAGATCGAGACCATCCTGGCTAACACAGTGAAACCCCGTCTCTACTAAAAAAATACAAAAAACTAGCCGGGCGAGGTGGCGAAC